GTACTCTAAAGCCTGGTTCTCACGAGAGCCCTAGTATCCGGATCGGGAGCTAACCGTTAGCGCTAACCGTTAGCACCTGCGTGAGAACGCCCGATCGGTTAGCGCTAACCGTTAGCGGTATCCTGATACGCTAACGGTTAGCAAGCGCTATCGGTTAGCAAGTTGAGGGAGTTTCTATCATCAACCAATCACACGTACGCGTTTACAATTTCCAGTTTCTTATTGGCCAGTGATTCGATCATCGTATTGTTGATATCCGGATCGGGATTTTCTCGCATGGACGCATGGCAGTTAACGGTTAGCACGATCCGGATCCTGCTAACCGTTAGCTGCCGTGTGAGAACATAGCCTAAGTTGATAAAACAGTATACCAACAAGATATATACTAATACTGTATAATGATATTACTTATAAGCGTCTTATGTCTACAATATACAACATTCCGAACAATACCACTTATCAATAGACCTTTCCGGAGTGTCAATCAAACTTAACAACTGACTAATCAGAACAGCGCTAGAAATACGCGTGCGTCTCACAAACACGCGTGTTGTCCCACAAACGCACGTTTTTGCGTATTTTTTAACACTAGCGTGGTTCTCACGAGAGCCCTAGTATCCGGATAGCGCTAACCGTTGGCACCTGCGGCCCGATCGGTTAGCGCTAACCGTTAGCAGTATCCGGATACCACTAACGGTGAGCAAGTGAGCACGTTTCTGGCTATGGCTATGCTCTCACACGGCTGCTAACGGTTAGCAGGATCTGGATCCTGCTAACCGTTAGCTGCCGTGCGTCCATACGAGAAAATCCCGATCCGGATACCAAACATATGATGATCGAATCACTCTCCAATAAGAAACTGGAAATTGTATACGCGTACGTGTGATTGGTTAATGATAAAAACGCGCTCAACTTGCTAACCGATAGTGCTTGCTAATCGTTAGCGGTATCCGGATACTGCTAACGGTTAGCGCTAACCGATCGGGCGTTCTCACGCAGGTGCTAACGGTTAGCTCCCGATCCGGATATTAGGGCTCTCGTGAGAACCAGGCTTATGTTCTCACTCGGCTGCTAACGGTTAGCAGGATCTGGATCCTGCTAACCGTTAGCTGCCGTGTGTCCATACAAGAAAATCCCGATCCGGATACCAAAAATATGATGATGGAATCACTGGCCAATAAGAAACTGGAAATTGTAAACGCGTACATGTGATTGGTTGATGATAGAAACGCCCTCAACTTGCTAACCGATAGCGCTTGCTAACCGTTAGCGGTATCCGGATACTGCTAACGGTTAGCGCTAACGGTTAGTTCCCGATCCGGATAATAGGGCTCTCGTGAGAACCAGGCTACAATCATCCGTTTTTCACGGCTGCTAACGGTTAGCAGGATTCGGATCCTGCTAACCGCTAGCTGCCGTGCGTCCATACGAGAAAATCCCGATCCGGATACCAAGAATAATATGATCATCGAATCACTAGCCAATAAAAATTGGAAATTGTAAACGCATACGTCTCTCGTGAGAACCAGGCTACTGTCGTCTTGTGGGACCTAAGCAACAATATCCAAGGGGCGGGGCTTAGCGGAAAGGTGCATTGTTTGTATTCCGGTGTTTAGGCCTCTTATTAATAAATCTATTTATAAATGATTAATTCAGCCAGAACATATACAGTAAACATTGGCGTTTTTCTAAATAAAGTAATTAATAAAATTTTATACAAAAGACGAGAAATAATTATAACAAAACAATGAGTTACCAGCAACAGTGGACATAATCCGATATTGTAATTCTATAACATTCGCATTAAGACTTCCCTGGATACATTCCCGCTACATTTAATGAGGAAAACACGACATGAGTAATCGGTCTATAATTTAAATAGGATCAATATAATGCAGAAAGAAAGAGTTGAAAATACAATATACTTATAAGAGTAGGCAAAATTAGATGTATTATATTACATATTGCAGAACAGCATGCTGTATTGTCGATGGTATTAGCTTACTTTGAAAAAATGGTTTCTAATTAGAGAGGTTTCGAATTGGAGGGCGGACTGTATACATGTATGTGGTGTGTGTGTGGGGTGGGGGTGTGTGGGTGTGGGTGTGTGAGTGTGTGTGTATCTGGGAGTACTTCTACGTAATGCATACATTTGTCGTGATTTTAATTATGGCGTTTGCATCTTCATTGAAAATCGTGTAGTGAATGAACAAAGATAATATTTTGAATTATATACAACAATTAATTGGAAACACGATCACACCATATTAGGAAATTAGAAACCGTGGATAGCATTCTATATTTATGTCACACTTCGTAATAAAACAAGTTACTATGCCTACATGATATTGCACCCCGGTTACAATTATCAATAATTTTAATCATGTCTAGAAGGTAAGTTTATATCTGTTATAGTTTATTTATAGTAGACTGTTCCAAAGGGACAGGCTATTATTAGTCCTCAGCTGTATTTATTTTTTGCTCAATTGACATTTCCGCTAAACTCCATCTCTTCTTCGATGTTGTTGATAAGGTCCCCCAAAACGACAGTGAAAAAATGTACTCAAACACGTGTGTTTGTGTGGGACAACGCGTGTGTTTGTGAGACCCTCGCTTGTTCTTGGTACTGTTGTGATTGGTCAGTTGTTAAGTTTTATTGACACTCCGGAAATGTCTATTATAATTATTGTTATTTTAAATCAGGGTCAACATTTTGAAATTAATTGACCTCTGTCCACACACATTTTGTCCCTATTCTTATCTCCGATGAGGAGCTCTAGAAACACTCGGCTGATTGATTAATAGATATTTTTTTGTATGGGCGGCTGTTAGGCCAATATACTCCATTGCCTCTATTATACTGCCCTCATCGGAGCTTTCGAGATTTCGAGATCTTGTTTGAGTTATCATAATTATAAAATCTTAATATGACAATATTACATTTTGTTAATAGCAGGTCAAATAAATATATCTTTGAATTATGGGAGTTGAGGAATGAATAGATTTGACAGTAAACGACCTCCCAGAAGATTTTAGAACAACCACGAAGAATTGAAAACATTTTTATTTTGCCGTTCTCAAGATTAGTTAGTAGGCTATATTATTTAGCTAAATCAAATGGTCAGAAGTTGTAATAGATGACATATTTTGTCCATGTCATTCTCTTGATACTCTATATTTAGAACAATCTATTTGGAACCTAGAGATATTGTCAAAACATTAATTATTTTCAGAAATATTCACCTGGTACATTTAAAGATTAAGAATTTATAATATTGTTGTGCCCGCCATGCAAACCTTTTAACAAATTAGTTTTCATTTTTCTCACAGCGTGAATCATTTAATCTAGTTTCGTGCCACGAGTTGATCTAAAAACATTAAAATTATAATCTGCATATATATTGGATGAGTTAAATATTGGTAGCACAAAATCAATATTTGTCTTTACTTGGTTTTTCCCCATAAAAAATATCACATTCACATAACGAAACGTAATTAATCACTTAATTAAACTAGAAATTGCAAATTGCAAGTGAAGTGCTGCGAAGTAAAACTGCATAAAATGTTCTTCGAACAAAATTATTTATGAGAGTCAAGTGAAAATAATGAATAATAAAAATATAACAAATAATATGAGACACGACCCATTGTCTATATTAGAACAGCGTTGGTACCGTGTACAATAGTGTTTTGCTGCAGTGACATCTCGCTGCTGGCGACTCGCTGCTTCTGGCGAATCGATCTGCGCATGTGTATAAAAATGGTATTTATTTCCGAAAACACTATACCAGTCTACAACAAGCGTCGCCAAAATGTGATAATTAGCACGTTAAAATAGGCTAGTAAATAAGTTTAACTGGGTTCGTAAATAATATTGGCCTCAAAATATTGTGGCTGAGACTTTTCAATACTTAGCTCTTTTCGTTTATTTATTTAACGATCTCTATTGAACAACCTGATATGTACACTTATGAATCATTTCAAGCTATTGAAGCTCAATCAACCAACATACAATAGTGCCAATCATAATATTATGTTGATTGGTCATCCTAAAAAATAATCAATCCTCAACCGGTAACATAAGTAAAGCAATGGAATATATATTAATACTACATTTCTTTTGAGATGGCCAATATCATTTTTTAAACACCGTTCATTTATCGTGTTTCTTACCTCATGATTATGCCCATAATATTAGACGTTCTCATTCCCTTTATTTTTTCAAATTAGACCCGTTAAGGCATGCATACTTCTGAATATCTTAAATACATTTTACATAGGCTACATATAATAACGTTTAAATTAGGTTTACTACAATAAGTAAGGTTACCAAAATAAAGTAGGCCAATTTCGTAAGAAAAATCTTTTCAATATATGTTACAACGTCATTGGGCTTATTCGACTGGCTCATTTCGTTGAGTACGAATTTCGTTGAGTATTATTTTCATTCAACTGGTTTGTAAAACAGACTTCATTGACAACGAAAATTAACGTGACCAGAATGCGTTAATCAGCGTTAAGTTATCCACGCGACCAAAAAAAAAAAAAAATATGGCCGATTGGTCAGTTTAGCAACAACATTTGCGTTAATATGATTTTGATTAAATTTCAGGAAATAAAAATTATAATATTTACCGCATTGAAGTTAAAAAAAAATTGTAGGCTAACAGAATTCAAAAACTGGATGAAAACATTTTTTTAACGAAAAACCCATACTGCCACAATCCGAAGCAGCCTTGATTACGCAGCGTGATATCGCGGTAACTATGCAGCCATTTTGTTTTGTCGAGTATTTACCAGTTTTTTATTCGACTGGTCGTCTTCGTTTAGTAGGATTTTACCACTGCGCAGGTGGGCGTGGTTTGTATTACTGTATTCTCAAATTTGAATTGACCAATAACTGCAGTCGGATTTTTCAATAATACAAGCATGGTAAAGTTGTGTTCGATAGGCACTCACTTTAGGTAATTGCATTGCCGATCGAAGCAGAAGATAAAGGACGTTATATATCCTTCATCATATAACGTTATAGTACAACTATTATACGGTGTTGTTATGTATGTTTTTGCTGCCTTGATTTCTTTCGTCTCCTACATTAAAGCCGGTATTGCTGTTGCTAGCACAGATCAGTACGTTGTTGTGCCACAACAGATGTTACTAGGCTGGAGTCAGGAGTTAGAGAACACTAATCGCATCCAATGTTTATTGACTTGCTCAAGGAAAATTTACTGTTTTTCGGTGAATTACAATCGCCAGAATAGAATTTGTCAGGTAAACAAGCAAACACGAGAAGATGCATCCGCTGGACATTTCTTAGTAGACATCTCATATGATTACATGGAAAAGGTAAGTAACTAACAACAATCTAAACTTAGTTATACTTGATAAAGGTAAAAGTGGAAAATATTGATATTAATTTCATGAAAATAAAAATTCGTTGATACAAGACTGGAAGCCACTCTAGGTACAGGTTAGAAAAGAAGAAAAAAACGAAAAGAAAATAAAACAAGGTGAGGAGACCGAAAGATGTAATAAAGCAGATCACAATAAAAATAAAAAAACATTAATGAAATTTCTCAGTTGAGTTGTCAAGGTGTTCACTTCAAACTAGTGAGGTGAACAATGGGGAACCAGTCTTCTGGAAGGGCATTCCACAAAGTCGTGGCTCTGAGAAGATAAGCTCCTTTCAAATGGTTCTGTTCTGCTCTTACGATGGTGAGAATATTTTTAGGAGCCCGTGATACGACCAATGTTGATGGTGGGACGATATCTGATAACCCAAAAGAAAAGCATCGATAAACTTATCTATAAATTAAAAAGTGGTAGTAACCAGCTCTCAGATGAGCAAGAAGATGTAAAGTTGAACCCATTTTTTCCAATAAGATTGACAAATCTCTCTTGAACCAACATTAATAAATAGAAGGATGAGGCTCCAGTCCATATATGGAAACAGTGCTCTTGTATAAGTACAAAAGTGCACATGGAGGAAGAAATTGTCTTGTTCTGTACATACAGCACGCATTGCTGCACTCTTACCATACGGGAGATGAAACTCAAGTCATGTCAAGGATACGAACATCATGCAGGCATTGGCATTAAACCCACATAAAACGAGATAAAAGTTGTTTTGTCTCTAGAGCGAGAGAGAGAGAGAGAGAGGGATAGAGAGGCATCAAGTTGGTTTCCCTGTGGTGGAAATTGACAAGCCATTCTCTGCCTCATCCCAGGACAACCGAGAAGTAAACCTAGAGTCAGATGAACAACAAACATGATTGACTCGTCAGGATACATACACAAGTTTAAACTAGACTTTGTCAGAAAGATCGTTTATGTAAATAAGGACGAGAGAAGGGCCAACAACGGATCACTGAGGTACCTCAACAGAAAAACAGTAGATGTTTGACCATCAAAGACTATATTTTATTGATGAAAATCTTAGAATACAATGGAATAACATAATATAGTAATAATATTTCACCATTTAATAACGCATATTACAACAAACCAGTGACTCCATTCCTTTTTATTAGTATACTTCAAATAGTGTCTTTAATGATGCACAGCTTCTATGCTACCAAGTATGATACAATATATTACAACCACGATGGCATTTTATATTATTGTACGGGTTTCAAAACTAACAAAGGAAGACTCAATCTCCATTAGGATAGCATATCAAATAACATGTGTAAATTTTAATTGTATTACGTGCGTGAATAAATTATCTTAGAAAAACGTTGGAGTAAATCAAGTAGAATGATGGTCGCGTTTGAAGCCGGGCACTCTAGACACAGGAACCATAATGCGATAACAATTGCCCCAGCGACCTAATGTAATAGCAATAAACCCTGTTTCAAAGCCATTAGGCCCCTTCCAGAGTCTATTTGCCATCTCGGTGTGAGGTTACAAAAGCAGTCGTGGGAAGCAGTAGTTAAGGAACCGGATGTACATTAAATCTGATATTTTCTATGAAATCATGAAGTCTGCCATTTCTGGAAAGAATATTGAAGTGTCACAAAACTGACAAACCTTGGATGAATAACAGAATCAAATCACTCATTAAAAGTAGACAAAAAACTTTTTTAGGGGCGATGTTCCGTTAAGAATTAAAATGAGAAACATTATTATATGAAATAAATAAAGCCAAAATCAATTCTAATGCTAAAAAGTTCAGACCCCTACGATTTACTGACACGAAAAGGTGGCACAGCGAGATTCGTAGAGTTGCAAATATATCGAGAGATCACTATTAATGTCTCAGGCATAAATCTTGACGAGACCACCCCAGTAGCTGATGCTGTAAACACTCACTGAGCTAGTTTTTCTCAAACACAGGAACCTATCAGAACTGAACGCTTACCTGCCTACCTGCCAAGCCCTAAACTATCCCCTAATTTCCAGCCATACGGGATCTATCATGATCTCAGTAAAATTAACGTTAATAAAGCAGGATGTCCTGACAACTTACCCCCTAAGTTGCTTAAAGAATGTGCATATGAACTCACTGTCCCAGTGAATAATATCATTAATGCGTCATTTCAGGGTAAAGTTCCCTTCCAATGGAGAGCTGCTAATGTAATCCCTGTTCCAAAACAGTATCCATCGAATATTAATAAACTACCGGTACGTCCAGTTTCCTTAACCCAAGCCTAAATTAGATACACGCCAATATGGTAACCAGAAATGGACATCTATATCTGTCCATTGTCTAATAGATCTTCACCACAAACTTATAGAAGCTTCTGAGAGATCGGCCAGCAGCAGTGTACTGGTGGTGACCGATTTCTCCAAGGCTTTCGACATGGTAAACCAAAATGTCCCTTTGAGAAACTACTTAAATTGGGTATCTCACACTGAAGTAGATTTTGAGGTCGATGCCTGGAAGTACGTCGACGACCAATCCATCGGATAAAAAAATAAAAACTTAACCCCTCAAAATGCCAAGTAATTAGAATATACTTTGGGCATCGTTCATTTCCTGACATTGTCCCCCATATCTCTGGTGAACCATTGCTTGTCCAAACAGTAAAACTATTGGGCATCATACTGGATATTGATCTTAAATGTAATGGAAACAATGAATCTATTGTCACAAAATCTACTAAAAAATGATTTCTTTTACGGGCATTAAAAAGATTAGGCCTTTCAGCGGATAAATTAGTCTCAGTTTATAAAAGCTCTATTCGACCAATACTTGAGTATGGTGGACCACTTTGGCATCCCGGGCTAACCTGGGACACCCCTATTAAGGGAACGGGACACTTTCTAAGTGTGCCAAATTATCAAATTACCCCTATTAAGGGGACACTTATTTTTTTCCCCTTGTATCAACTACAGCAGTCTCAAAATAAAAATTCATTTAACTTTTATATTTTGACACATTTTGAGCAATAGACCAGAATTTTCTACCCTGAATCCTTAGTTAATGTCGGTATAGGCCTACTGCATGTGTTACCTCGTGCCAATCTTGTCAATTTTGAACCTTAACCATGAGGATTTCTTTCTCTTCGTTTTTCTTGTACTTTCATATAGCATTCTAATCCATACCATAACTTGCACCCTTAATTCCAAGTCTTACTCTATTAATGCTACATTCATCCAATAGAAAGCTCCATATTTTAAAAAAATAATAAAGAATAGGCCTATTTGGTCAGTAACATTGCATCATGAATTGGAAACATATTTTAATTACATCTCTGCTGATTTCATATTATAAATGAATTTTATTTGATTGATTTGATTTGAATTTATTTGGTTGCACCTTAAAATACATAAAAGTACAATATATAAAAATAATTAAAAAGCAACCACAAAAACAACAATTTAAACAGCACCATGTAAAAGTTAAAAGGAGATAAAAAAAAAAAAAATTGAAAAAAAGTGAAACCTGAGATAACCAATAAAGTGGAGAAAACCACTTATTTCCAATGGAATCCCAATTCTATTTACAGCATTCAAACAGAAAAAGACGAACAATAAACAGGAATGAAAAGTTAATTAAAAAAGGCAAAAATTAAACAATTCATCAAGCATAAGTTAAAACATTTTATCATAAACTACAGTACAACAATGCATATAAAAATAGTCTTTACATTAATTTTAAGATTTGTAGGCAAGATAAAATTTAAGCTTAATTAAAAAAATTCTCGTGGTTTGGCAAAGTTTAATATCTTTGATACAAAAATTCATATAAAAATAGTATTTACATTTATATAAGATTTGTTGGCAAGATAAGTTATCAACTTAATTTTAAAATTTAAGTTAATTTAAATTTTTGCATTGCAAATTATTGCTATAAAGTTCTAAGTCAACGGGCCAGGTGGCAAAAGCCGGGTGGCAACAGGCCCGGATGGCAACGGGCCGGAACCCAATAAGAATAAAATTATAAAGAATGAAAGTCATCGTTATATAAAAACATGCCAAAAATTGTCTATACTGCAATTATTTAATATCTTGATTTAAAAAAAAATAATGATTAATGTATTAGTAGTTAACTTTTCTTTATTAAAATTCTTAATGTATTGCATTTACCCTAAAATAATGATAATTATTAACTTAAATTGATGAAAGTGTACCTGTATAGTAACTTGTCTGAAATTTAATTAATGAAATTGATTATGTATATTGTATAGTTTTATCTTTTATAATTATTTATTATTTTGTGTGTCTATTTTAATATAATAATCTTTTACTCCTATTTAACAACTTTGTTTCGCAATTCAGCCTTGTGCTGCAAGTAGACAATTTTATGTACATATATTTTGAATTGAATACCAATTGAATAAAACCATTATTTACAATAGTTACAACGCATCTTAAGAATACCACAATAATTTTCAACCTCAATACCATATAGGGCCTAGGCAAAGCCTAACGAATTTTATTATCAAAACTCGGTATACTATAAAACAGACATGTTTCGGCAAATGCTTCGCCATTTTCAGTGAAACGATTGCTAACAATCACCAAAAAATGAGTCTCATGGTTAGACATTCAAAAATTGAGTTTATATTATATTTGGGTAGGTCATATGATAAGCTTTCATTTGGTCTTTGAATGGCCTTCCTACTATACGTAAATCCATAGATGTGAGCATTTAAAGTTTAGGTGTATAAGAACCACGTTTTGAGAAAATCGATCTCAAAGATATACTAATAAGAGTACGTTTTGTATAAATATTTAATATAAAAATAACGCTAAAAAGAAAAAATTGACGTTTCGACTCCTTCATGGTGTCATTTTCAAGATCAAATTTGTACAAATAGTATGACCAGACTTAGAGAATATGTGCGGAAAACACTGTTTTAGAAAGAAAATTCACTTACAAAGTATACAATAATAATATATAAGTATCAAGTTATTCAAAAACATTCAAATCAAAATTTTATAAAAATATTGACTTTGGCCTGTTTTGGTGAATATCTCAACATGATTTCACCAACGATGCGTCTCATTTCGTGGTGAGATCTCACATTTATGCCAACGACCCTTTTGCGACACAGCCCTTTGTCATCCTAAGAGGCCCGTTGTCACCTGGCGTTTGACGCTCGACCATTTGCCACCTTGTAACAGGCAAAACATTACCGATAACTATTAATTGACGATGAACATACCGTATCGCCGTTAACGTTTGACAATGCAGATGCCTCTCTCTATTCTTTTCCTTATAAGTTTACAGTATCGAAAGAGTCTGTAGAGTGACTACACTCAGATAAACAATTTTATATATTAAATATATTATATAATTATGTAATATATAGTTTATATTATAAAATGTGTTATAACAATGATTTTAACTAATTTATCTTGCATTTTGTTATTGCAGGTAATCGATGGTAATTTAAAGAAACGTAAGTGTTACTTTCATCAACATTTAGACCTCGTGAGTTACAGTAGTACCCAGATGGTTTGACTTCGTTCAGTGTTATAGGCCTGCACTATGTCCAACGAATTAAAACAAATGTCGAAATAACTGTGTCTCTAATTCTGTTGGAGACCCGGTAGGCCTAAAACTTTTGTGGAGTGCAATTTGGCACTTAATCAATCGAATTCGAAAAAGTAAAATTGAAAGATTGCGTTTTGTTCAGTGAAAAAATCCGATAACCTTATAAAGTTGACTTCTTTCCAGTTAATAATAGAACACAAAATAACAATTACATTAAAAACTACATCATAAATACCAAAATCAATTAAAGAACGGCATATTCGAAGAAACCAAATCGAATTTTACATTATTTCGTTCTTTTTGTATGTACCATTCGTCATATAAAGACTTGCATACAATTTAGTTTAAATGTATCTTATTTATGCAGGCTCCAACATACAAGATTACTCTCATGAAACTCGCAGGCTGTATTTCATGTATTTGCTATAAAAATTCAATTTAACTAATTTGTGAGAAAAATTAATTAAACTTTATTGAGATAAATTAATTTAAAAAACAGATAGCTTGAACTTACATCATTATCATCATCTTCCTGTACCGTACATAACCTCGCACAACGCATGAAGATCACAATACACATAGTCATAGGTATACTTTCTATTTTTCAGATGAACATACCGTATCGCCGTTAACGTTTGACAATGCAGATGCCTCTCTCTATTCTTTTCCTTATAAGTTTACAGTATCGAAAGAGTCTGTAGAGTGACTACACTCAGATAAACAATTTTATATATTAAATATATTATATAATTATGTAATATATAGTTTATATTATAAAATGTGTTATAACAATGATTTTAACTAATTTATCTTGCATTTTGTTATTGCAGGTAAAAATTCAATTTAACTAATTTGTGAGAAAAATTAATTAAACTTTATTGAGATAAATTAATTTAAAAAACAGATAGCTTGAACTTACATCATTATCATAATCTTCCTGTACCGTACATAACCTCGCACAACGCATGAAGATCACAATACACATAGTCATAGGTATACTTTCTATTTTTCAGCACATTGCAAAGAATTACTCCGATTTTAAGAACTGTCAACATTTCTTTAAAAAATGCCAAAATCGATAAAAAATATAATATATATATATATTTTTTTTTATCATTGGTTCTTCTTAAATTCAGATGGCGTATATTTCAAGGCAGTCGATGACGATTATGAAGCTGCTGCCGAATTTTGCATTAATCATTTAGGCTCCATTGCTTTTTACGAACAGTTATACGACGCGTTTCAACCGACTCTGAACAACTGCGAAGAGGGCTGGCTTGTTGGTGGTGAGATTGCATTCACGGAACTCACAGACGCCTGCACATTAAAACCACCAGAACAACGTAGCAATGTGTTTCCTTGTAAAGCATATCAGAGTGGGGTTTATTGTCAGAAAGAATATAACCCATCGGCAGATACGTTCGACTATTTACCAAAAACCCAACGAATCATTCGACTGACAGATAGTAACTCGAAGAAGTTGAATGCAGACGAAGCTGAGACATGTTGCAATACTGAATTCAATGGTCATCTAGCAACACCTCTTGACGTTTATAATAACTCTTTGACACTAGGAGTTAATCTTTGCTCAATTGGATGGCTCTCGGAGATGTTAGCAGGGAATCCATGTAATGGACATTCACTTCCTGACTTTTGGCATTATCCGGCAGGTAATAATATTCGCTTCGAGCCACTGACAGATGAATATTCAGCATTTTGTTTCGTTCCTCTGCCAAACCAGCCTTTAACTTACAATGACCCTTTCCCTTCTCATCGTGTCATGAATGGAGATGGAGAAAGTCGTTACACTTTAAACTACTACGATGCTGAAGTTTTTTGCAATACTCGCGGCGGTAGAATGGCAACGAGAGCAGAATTAGAGTTCGCACAGCAATCAGGATATGACTGTTGTCAGGCTGGCTGGGTCACAAGTGGGGAAGTCATTTACCCTACTACACAACTAAGACCTGGGTGTGGTTCTTCAACCGTTAATACTTGGGGTTACAAGGACAGGAGTACAGAATCTTTCTCGACCTACTGTTATATGCCGTAAAAATTGAAATAATATTTCAGTCTTTAGTTGAATATTCGCATTGTAGTATAAGAGAAGCCAAAGTCAGGTAGCGATACTCCAGCCATCATAGGTTAGGATGACAAGGATGTGAGTGATTACTCTTTATCCAGGGCGGATCTAGGTTCACATT